CATCAATCTTCCTATGTTTCATCGTAAGCTGGCCTTGGAGAAATCCATACTGTTTTTCTTTATTGATAGGCATAACTGTGTGCTCTTCAAAGCAGGGTCAGACCAAGATAAATGCATCACAGGGGAAATGGCAGAAGTACAGACAGGTGAGAGATAAAAAGAGTTTGGGAGGGAGGGAATAAAAAGGAGTCAATTGGGGAGAAGACACGTATGCAAGGGATGTTATGCAAGTTATTTTTATCCTACACGCATAAAACAATAGGTGTAAAGTGACATTCTGTAGGTTGAGGGAGGACGCCCACATATATCTAATCTGTCTTGCAACTCACATTCAGGTTTGTGAAAAAGAGGTCAGCAGTGTCATTCTGAACAACAATCTCCTTCTGTTCAGCTGAGAAAACACCACTTCATAGCTTTTTCACCAATAAACACATATTTTTTTTGATCAACAGTTGCATTTACTCTATTAATAAATACATCTATTACCCTAGAATTGATATATAGGTAATATATATAGGTAATTAATGGGGGGTTGACCACCTAAGACTTTGTTCTTAATAAGGCCTACCAAATTTCAGAACGCTAATAAAAAAACAAAAACAAAAGCTTCTAAATAGGGAATTAAGGAATGCACTAAGACACAAGCAAATACACAATACAGCCTGACATTTGTCAGCTCCTCATGGGGTTATGGGGCTGAGTTAAATTAACTGGGCTTAGTCAAATGCCCCATGGGACGTGTCTGTTTGTCACCACTGGTGTTTTTTAAACTGAAACACCTGACAGACAGGTCAGAGATGCTCAGCGGAGTGTGCACAGCCAGGAGTCATTTTAAAGAAGAATGGGGTGGCTTTGGTTTACGTTTGAAATGCCTCAGAGAAGAAGCTATTCTTTTAAAGATCAAGCAAGGAGAAGTGGGGACTCTAAACAGGGAGTACAAAGTTAACATGATGTTTGCATAATTAAAAAAATGAAGACATATACATTCTATATCCAGTATATACAGTATATAGTACCTTATATCTGCTAGTGTTTTAAGTAACATTTCTTGATTATGCAAAAAATATATGTCAAAAATAAAACTGATTCTAATTTTTTAGATAAATGATTTGAATCATAATTTATTTTAACAAGATATATTTGCTTGTTTGAAAATACTTCCAGTAGTGAGTAATGCAATCATAGCAACTTGTTACACTTTACATCAAACTGTGTAGATTAATTTCTGGTATCACGCTTATCAATATTTTTACAAAATAAAAAAAAAAAAGTTGTGTTTTATATCATCCCTATGCTTTGGAAACACTTTTAATTATATATACAAGCTGTTGAAAGGAACAGTTTTGCACTCTACATGCATAGAGTAGTATAGTCTTTCCCCTCTCCCGCCTCTTCCTGTGGACTGTTGGCTATCTGACTGATAAAAACCTACCACACTTTTCAAGTGCTAATATGATATTAATAAATGTATTCCTTTAGGAATATTTCTTGTCATGATTGTGCNACTCATTCCATTGGCAAATCATCTCATTAACCTACTAAAGTTAAGGGTAAATGCACTTAATTTGAGACAGTTTTACTTATTTCTAGATCGTTTTTCCAGTGAAGGAAAAGTGGGGACTCTAAAGAGGGAGTACAAAGTTAACATGATGCTTGCGTAATTTAAAAATAAAAACATATACAATCTATATCCATAGAGTATACAGTAACCTTATATCTGCCAGTGTTTTAAGTAACATTTCTTGATTATGCAAAAAATCATGTCGTATTAAAACTGATTCTAATTTGCATTTTTTAAATAAATGTCACCAAATAAGATTTGAATCATATTTGATTTTAACAAGATACATTTGCTTGTTTGGAAATACTTCCAGTCATGAGTAATGTAATCATAGCAGCTTTCATATACTTTACATCAAACTGTATAGATTACTTTCTTATATCAGCTTTATCAATATTTTCGCAAAATAAAAAAAAGTAGTTTTTTATATTATCCGTGTGCTTTGGAAACACTTTTAATTAGATATACATGCTGTTGAAAGGAACAGTTTGGCACTCTAAATGCATAGAATAGTATAGTGTTTCCCCTCTCCCGCATCTTCCTGTGGACTGTTGGCTATCTGACTGATAAAAATCAACCACACTTTTCAAGTGCTAATCCGATATAAATAAATGTATTCCTTCAGGAATATTTCTTGTCATGATTGTGCCCTTTGTGGACTTCTGTTTACGTTTCAGTTACACTTTGATTAATGTCATTCTGTGTTTTCTTGGTCAATGGTTTCTATTCCATTTTGTGTTATATTTACGCAGTGTTGATTTCTTGAATTACTCTCTGTTGCCCCCTAGTGGCAGTCTCCTTTCCCATAGCTCCTTCTAGTTACTTCTGTCTATGCCTGCTCCCTATTAGCTAATTAGTCCTCCCTCCCATTGTTTTTGTCTCATATATATATATATATATATATATATATATATATATATATATATATACACACCTCCTGTTCAGTGCAGGATCCTCGTCATTTTTTTATTTATTTAATCCTTCCTCGTGTCTCCTAGTTTTTGTTTCTTAAGTTTTCTTGTCAATCAGATCTGGACTTAGTATTTTGCATTTTGACTTTTTCATTCAATTTTGCAGGTAATCTTCCCTGCCTCATTCTACTCTGCATTTGGGTCCCCTGCTACATCAACCAACCCTTGCAATTTCTGATTGAATACAGATCAGACAGTGGTGGTATTGAAACGTTAAGGAACTGAAAATCAAATAAAAGTATTTAATTAAATCGCAAAGGATTGTGCAATGGCGTAGCTGTCTGGCAATTAGTAAATCCCAGGGTACAATCAAAGATGCTTGCATGTTCTTCCTGTGCATCAAATAATAATTTTTTCCCTCCGACATATCAATAATAATATTACTCAAAACATATAATTAAACAGAGGGGCGTTTTTTTTTTTTCCCACATAATTATATCTATAATTTAAATAAAAAATACACTGTATTAAAGATTGAACAGCTGCAGAACACTGAACTGCTATTTTAATACAAATACTTTAAATCAAAGGTTTATTTTTTTGTCAAGGTGGTAATGCCAGGAAAATTTCTATCCAACATATTAATATATATAATATTTTAAATTTTCTTTAAGATATTACCAGTTCTTCTCACCCCAAAAGTGAAAGCAGCATAAACACACTTACACTCCTCACCACGCACACACTAACACACACAGCCACTGGCACAGATGAGTGCGTCTAGCTGTCCAGCCATTTGACTAGCTGTCACCAAGTTTAAAGTAGCCAATGAAGCAAGCAAGCAATACCTGTCACTTTCTGCATATTGTCAGCGTAAGCGGCTGAGAGCTACACTGACTGACACCTTAAAGCACCATGTGAAGTGCACATGTAGGGCAAAGCTTGTAGGGTCTCTCTCTGCTGTAAAGCGGAGATACATGTCATGAATATGCAAACCCGGGAACCCACATATTCGGAGCAATCAATGCAACACACACGTAACAGATCCACTCGAGTCCAATGGGAGCTATATCTGCAAACTCCACACCATAATACACAGATGCTAATTTTTGTATATTGTATTTCACATATAATAAATAACATCTGCTACTGTATATTTGACCTATTAGTGTGAGTGATATGTCGCTGTTTTTCCACAGAACGCTCATTTTCAGGTTTGTGTCATCGCTCATGATTGCAGTTTATATCCCTATACACGTTTCAGTGCGCTCCTATGTTTGACATTTTAAGTCTGCTGGGCTTATATTCATGTTTGCATGCATGCATGTGTGTGTAGCATGCAAGACATAAACACTGATGATTAATAAATCATTACACATGCATTAATGATGCCACAATGACAATGACATACAAGGCAACTGCTGTGGGACTTTATGGAGTCTCATTGTAGAGATTGTACATTGCCACATTAAAAACTGTAATAGGGGAAATAGTTTGTGACGCTATAGTAAAAAGGCTTGACAATAAGAGGATGTTTGCAATTTTCAAAGGGTAAGGAGGAGAAGTAGCGGAGAGCAGAAGCAAAGGAGGAGCCTCAGCTGAGTGGATATAAGGTGTGGAGGATTGAATGGGCGGCATTTTAACCAACACAAGCTGCAGCTCCCCATCTGCTGCCATCATTACCATTAAGAGTCTCTAATTTAAACTAATTACTGCTGATGAGGAAGTAAACAAAGCCCATAGAGTTTGTAGGATTTGGAGAGAAAGATTTTTTCCAAGGAATGGTTTTTATTTATTTTTTTGTTTATAGGGAGACATTTGCATGTGTTACTGAAAGATCCAAGCTCTCTGATGTAAATAAGGTTGCAAGCGACAGCTATAGTTTATTTTCTAAAGTCAATCAACCTACAGTAGCAGGAAAACAACATCTAACTGATGAATAAGGATGTGGATGAACTCCTTTTGCATTGATGCAGCATTTACAAGAGACCCTCAGCCTTTCTATATGGTTGGTTCTGGTTCCTCTTGGCGATATTTAATAAATACCTTATAGGGCTGAGGTGAAGGCAGTTAGCAAGCCACTCAAGCACAATGAAGCAATTATATATTAGCAGGTATTGCAGGTTTTGGTAGTTTGAGCTGATGCCAAGTAAGACTACAATGAAAAAAAAGAATGCAACCAATTTTTTACATTTACTTAATTATATTAATTTGCTTCAACACAATTGTTTTATGTCCTGCCCTGCTAACATGAAACAATTGCGTTAAAGTAACTAAATATGATTAAGTAAATGCAAAAAAAAAGTTGCATTATTTTTCCAGTGGTGATATTTAGATTTCTTTGAGAAAAATTGCCTTTTATTTGTTTGTTTGTAAAGGAAAAATAATGGTTTTCTCATTAAAACAAATGTAAGTGAAACATAGCAAATTAATCATAAAAAGCTGCATTGGATTTGATTTTTTTTTACTGGAACTGATTGTATGTATTGTCTATGTAGCCATAGAGCTCACAGGGCCTCTGAACTCACCGTGGTGGTTTTAACTCGGCCTCCAGGCTGTGTACAAGTCCATCCAGATTTATTGACTAACAGGTCACAGCCTTCGTCCTCCAAGCACGGAACCATCTCACACCACTGCCTTTTTCGAACGATCCCAGCTGCAGAGGAGAAAAGAGGGAGAACGGTTAAAGACACGGAGGAAAAAAAAAAACCACTAATGCAAAAAGATTGGAAAAAAGATGGGAAAGTGAAAAAAAATTAGATAAACATTGGGGATAAAAGGAAACTAAGGGATGAGTTGAAAAATGTGAGAAATAGGCAGAGAGAACAAAATCGTAGAGAGAGAGACGATTCAGTCAGGTAAATAAAGTCAACCATTTCAAATTATTTTTATGGAGGTTAACAGTCTCTTTGTGTTTTTAAAAAATTCAAATAAATACACCTCTTGGGAGCTTTAAGCATAACAAGAGATAAAGAGCAGCAGTGATAAACATGAACTGATATGAAAGAATAAGCAAGATGAATGTTATGTGCAAATTGATTATGCATAAAGAAGTCATTTTTGATTTTGTATTCAACACATGCTGAAAGAATATAAGGCATCTTTTTAACTATACTGAACACTCTTATGAAACTGCTTAATAATTTATCAGAAAAAAAGTAAGTGGTACAGGTGATGACTCAGCTAATCATTTGTCAAAAACGTATTGAATTTATGTACTTTAGACAGCCTGCTAAAGTTTAAATTACGCATTTGGTGGATGTAAATAGATAGAAATGCTGATCTATTGGGATTATTATTACTCAGTACTAAGATTTTCTTGAAAACTGTCAGAAAAGAGAACAAAAACTAGTAAGTAATCATTGTTTTAGACAGAAAAAATGTATTATTGATGCAAGAGGAGAATGGTAGACGTCTTTAACTGAGTTTACAGTACTATAAAGTCCACAATATAGTTCCTACTCTATACTGTACAGTGTAGTGATCGAGGGGTTAAAGGATAGGGAGGATATTCAGAAACAGTCCATATATTTTAAGTCAGAAGTTTCTTCATAACAGCTTTAACACTGACAACTAGAGATTGTTTCTGCCCAAAGCTGTCATCAAAATTGCTGAGAGGACATTTAAAAATGTAAAGTTACAACATTTAATTCCCATTTAAGCTTTCTTAAAGGGTCTATATGGGTCAGTTAACTATGTTCAAATGCAATTCCTTCCTCAAAATCATGGACAAAGTGGTATTTTGCTCGATCCATGCTTCTGTGAGCTTCTGTGAGATTTGCTGTCTGAGTTCTGCTGTCTGATCATCATCCCTCTCCTCTCCTGTGAAAAATAGTGGATGAGAAATATCCACATAGAAGACCCCTTCAGGTAACACCTACCTCAACCGAGCTGTGCCAGAACTTTAAAAAAAATCACCCACTTTCTCTAATCAGGGAGAGGTGATGTAAGGCAGAGACAGCTTGATGATTCTGGCACAAAGTGGCTCTTTCAGCAGGTACTCGGCGCAGGGAAGCAACTTTTCTTTTAAGCTAATTTCTACATCCTAAAAAAATAAAGCTGTCTCAGAATGTTCAGCTGTCAGAAGTGGTAATATTGCAATGTGGTAAAATGGAGGGAACCCACATGTGGTCAGATAGGGTTCTGAAAGGGTTATGTTTTGGGTGGCAAATAATACCCACAAAGTTCTAAATGCATTATTTAATCATGCATGTGCCTATAGTTGATTAAAAGATTAAAAAAATATAAGATATGTGATTTTTATTTCAGTTTGAATGGAATTGAGGAAAGCCAACATCTGCTCAAATAACTAGTTGTTACAACCTGATATGACATTTTAACTAAGAATGGGAAGCTAAGGTTATAGTTCACAAAAAAAAGGAAAGAAAAATCTTTTCAATGAGTGTAGATTTATATGATTACTGTATATTCAGATGGTGAGGTTTTTTGTTTTTTGTCTAAATATAATTAAAGAATATGTGGGTTGCATTCATCCCAGTTTTCTTGATCAGTTCAGGAGTCCAGTGGTACAAAGAATATTTTCTAAACACACTTCTACTGCCTCTATAGCGACTGATTATAGATTAAATTCCAAAGCCCTCCTTTCTACTATTTTCTCCATTTCTTAACAGCCACAGAATACAAGTCTCATGATAGCTACAAACAGCAGGATAGTTAACGATGTTAAAAAAAACTCATTTTATCTGAAATGTTTTCTTCAATAAGAAAATTAATCCAGTGTACTTCAACAGTATCAACAAGAAGTAGAACTCAATATATTTGAGCCCATTTGGGATAACCTAGAATTAAAAGATTCACATTTTGGATAAGCAATCGACAAACTGTGAAGCTATCATGTCAATATGGACGGAAATGTTTTTTAAACCTTATTATACCTCATGCAACAGAGGTACCTTGGATAGGTCCCCAGTCCATCACGTGGCGGGATAGACAACTAGATATGCATACGTTCTATATTAGAAATAACAAGAGAATAAACCAATTAACTGAGCAAACAGGATTTTGAACTACTGAAGGGAGCTTGATGCACATGATCATGGGGAATATGCAATGTTCATGCAGGATGACTCCCGGCAAGGATTTGCACTCAAGACCATCTCTATGAAAGACTACAGTGCTTAACAGGATGCTGCCGTGTTTACATTCATAACGGAAAATTTATCATTTCAATTACATAGTAAAATAAGATTCTTTACTTCCACATCCATAAAGCTTAGTGGATTTCTCTGCATGTACTGACACAAGTTTTTTTTGTTAAACAAAGGTAAGCAAGTTGCACAGTAGCAATCCTTACCTTCTGTTTTACATGCACTTGAAAATGAAAAAAATATATATATAATAACATTTATCAGCAGAACGAAAGTTGTCTTTTTACAAACACCAAAAGATTTATGAGGGTGTAATTTATACAAATCTGTGACCTTTCCAGAGTTATGGATAAATGGTTTTATTTATTGCCTCAGCCTTAACAAACACTTGTTTCACACAGGACTAATGGAGACCTTGAGTCCAGTGGTCAAACAAAGTGAGAAAATAGGAAATGAATAATTCATATAAAGCAATATTCTCACATTCAGAATCCTCCAGAACAACGATTTATTCAACAGCCACCCCTTGAACCTACTCTTGTGTGTTCAGTGAGTGTTTGCAGGGAACCCCTGATTTCTGAAGGCATAAAATGCCATTGGAAGCAGTGAACATTTTGTGTCGCTTTTCATATCCAATAAAACTTTCAGAACTGTTGTGCTGTGCCGTTCCTTTCAATGCCTGCTTCTATTGTTTCCGTCTGGATATTGTCATGAGTTTCGTCCTAAGCCTTTGTTCTGCAGACCAGTATCTCACTGCAAGCAGTGTGCATGAAATGAAAAGATAACATTCTGTAATACTTTACTGAACCTAAAACTATCTACTTTGTCAAAGACTGTCAAGATACCAAGAGCAAAGAAGAAACAAACATTCACTTTAATCACAACCAAAGGCTTGTTATACATTTGATAATACTTTTAAAAAATGTTTTTCTTGAAGCAGATAACCTGCGTTAGTTAAAGATTTAAAAAGGATCTCCGTTGTATAGTGTCCCATGATAAGTGAACATAATTAAATGGATAACAAAAACTAAGTCTAACTGTTAAATAGAATAAAAAAAACTGGAAGTTGCAAGCTTTCTGTTAGTTGTTCTTTAACATATAAAGACATGATAACATTTCCTTGAGGCAATGCAGATGTGTTTTGATGTTCTTCAGAGGGTAAGAAGCTAATTACAATACCCAGCTGCTTAAAGGGATTCAGGTAATTCGTCATAGACATACTTTCACGATTTCTATATATTTCAAGGAACTGCATATGTTGCTCAAATAAGTATAGGAGAGGCAAGGAGAGGCTAGAGGGGGCTCGATTAGAGGTCTGGAGTCTGTTCCTTTCCCAATTCAAACTTTTGTCCTTCAGGATAATTGTGTACACCCTGGTCAGATCACCAGTCTGTTGCAGGGCATCACAGAAACATATAACCACAATTTAGAGTTGCCAATTAACCTAACGGTCATCTTTTTGGACTGTGTGGGGACGCGGGAGTACCTGGAGAGAACCCTCTTATGCAGGGACACTGCAGGGAGAACATGCAAACTCCAAATGAAAAAGACCCTGGGCTGGCAATTGAATTTAGAACCTTCTTTCTTTAAAACAACAGCACCACCGTGCAGCTCATAGTATCAAACATACAAAAATCCAATCACTCTCTTTCTGTGCTTTGTTCTTTTATAGTACACTGAGTTTAAAATCCTCCTTAACTTTTTCTACATCCTTAGTAAGGGATTGGATCCTGTTGGGACTAAACAAGGTACTGCTGAGTTATGATACTAACCATTCCAATCCCTCATGAAGGATGAAATAAAAATCACTTTACAATTCAAATTCTACTGTCATTGCCTTTTTTAGAGAAAGTCTTGGAAAATGGAGACTGTAATGTCACTTGTGCTTCAAATATGAACCCATTGGTGCATCTCTAAGCCCCAGAAGTTTCCTTAGATAACTGCTACTGTATTTGATTGAAAACTACATACAAGAAAACCTTTGACCTCTTAAATATCCATCTAATGTACAATTATAAACTACCACAAATATAAAAAATAATTTATTATTTTATCTAAAACAGAAAGAATTGTTCAGTCCAGTTCAGATCGTGAAGAAACTGCTATGCCTGAACGGTAAACAGGAAAGGAAAAACAATCATAGATTCTTTTCAAAGCCAATATCAAACTAATGAACACATCATACGGTTATGCAGATATTAAACTCTAAAAGCTTGACTGTTAACATTCCCAAAGGTATAAAGTAAACCACAATTTCAAAAGAAGCCCTTTAAAAAAATCTTCAATGAACTTTAAAGACCTCCAGATGACTGGCAATTACATATAAAGATATTACTGTGTTTATGAGAAACAGGAAAAATGTTCCATGATAAATTTTAAAGGATCAGAACTTAACGCTACAACTTTCCCTCTATTAAAACCATAACCTTCAGATCACCTCTTAACAGAACAAATGGTGATGACACAAAGTATGAGAAGAATTCCTCATAAGTTCTGCGACATTAAGGCTCCCCACAGAGGTTTCATTGTAAACAAACATGATCATTTT